TACCTCTTTCCCCCCTTCACTGGTCAAATCAAGAAAGATGAACATACCAATAATCAAGAATGTGTCATTTGTGGGTTCAAGTGGTGTATCTATATCTGAACAGCCCAAAGCAAAAATACAGCTACCTACTGAAGAAACAGGTCTCAAGACCCAAGGTAGTTCCTGATGTTTGTTGGTCCAACTTTAGCCATTATATTGAGATTAGAAGATGACCACAGGCAAACCTCTTTCAGAACAGCTTACAAAGAAGGAAAACATCTGTTTCAATGTGTAAAACTGGAGGAGCTTGATTTTCCATACTGACCAGCTGAGCTAGTGCTGACAAAATGTGTGAAAAGCCTGCGAACACCATGCCTCAGGACTCCATCGATATGCAGAAAGCCTTATAAACCAGTCATGGTCAAAGCCAATTTTAGAAGTATCAGTGAGACGGTCAAGAATGCTAGGGACTCAATACAGTTTGCGCAAACAAATATGGTGTTGCATCATTCTTTCTAGTTAAGCAAGAGATACCTCACACTATAAGCAGAAGGCCAAAAGTAAGTGCATAGTCCGTTGTTAACAAGCCCGAAAGTACTCACTATCTTTCTGCAAGAAAATTAACTGAGTGGTTAGAAGATTGTGGTGCAACAGTACATGACTCAGTAGTTGACTTTAGTAAGGTTTCTGATACTGTTTCACATGATCTTCTCAAATCAACTAGGGAAATACAACCTAGATCAGGGGTGGGCAATAATTTTTAAAAAGGAGCCCACTTCATAAATTTCTGAAGTGGCCCCAGCACCCTGGAAGGGGCAGGGCTTTGGTAGGAAGGAACAGGGCCATGAGACTTCTTGTGCTCCCCCCATGACAGACCCTGACTTGCCTGGGGAAGGAGAGTGCAAAGTCCCCACTCCCAGAGAGAATCATCAGCTGTTTTAACAGCCGGCGTTTCTCTCTAGCAGCTGCGCACCCTTGGTGGGTGGGTGGGTGAGGGGAGGAGGAGAGAAGACTTTGCATGCTTCCCTGCCTCCAGGTCTTGATTGCAAGGGCTATGGAGCGGCAGGGTGGCCTCTGGCCAGGTCCACTGGTTTGGCGGGTTGGATCTGGCTGGCGGAGGCCCCTTTGCCCACCCCTGACCTAGATGGAATTACAACAAAGGTGAGTGCATAGCTGGTTAGAAAACCATTCCCAGAGATTAGTTAACAGTGATTCATAGTCAAGCTGGAAGGAATATCATTGTGAGTACTGTGGGGCTTAGTCCTGCATTCAGTTCTGTTTACGGTCTTCATCAGGCCTGGGCAAAATGCCCGCCAAGCTGCCAGACCTGGCCTGTGGACTTCCTGCCTACCTTTTTCCCTGCGCTGAGAAATGCAGCCACTGCGGGGATGTTCAAATAGCTGTGAGCTAGGGGAGGAAGGAAAGGATTCACGTGCTGCTCCCACCCCCAGCACAATCTCATTGGCCAGTTTCTGGCCAATGGGAGCTGCCTGTTCTCAACAGGCAGCTTGGGACGTACCCTTTCCCCAGGCTCATAGCTGTTCAAAAACCATGTGTGCAGCAAGTGTGGGAGTGGCATAGGCAGGAAATCAAGCAGGTAAGTCTCCCAGCCAGAGCAATGGGGCTGTCGTCGGATCAAGACAAAATAGAGAATTTGAAAACAGAGTGGAATGTCACATGACAAACGAAGAAAGATTTGACTACAACTTTTTTCTTGAAACAATCCCCCTGTGACTCAATCTGAACTTTGTGCTATTTTGGGGGGGAGGGGGGGGAATGAATGAAATAGGAATTCATCTCTTGTTTCTCCTAGTCATGACAATTGAGTGGGTTTTTTTTTTCATTAAATATAATTTGGTGTTCTGAAAAAAAGTCACTTTC